GTGGGCCTAGGAGAAGAATAACAATCTTATCCGATAGCCAGGCTGCAATGAAAGCACTAAGTGCCTGTAAGATTACTTCGAGTCTTGTATTGCAATGCAGGGAGGCTCTGGATTGCCTCGCTGCGAGGCATCCGGTATCGTTAATATGGGTCACCGGGGCACGCTGGGATAAGGGGCAATGAGACGGCGGACACTCTGGCGAAAACAGGATCAGCCAGCAAGCTCGTTGGTCCTGAGCCAGCTCTAGGAGTGACCGCGCATAAAGCTAGGAGGAAAATGGAGACGTGGGTTGCAAGACAACACTCTCAGAAGTGGAGAAGTATCTCTAGACATCTCCGCCAGGCACGAGAGCTCATTGAAGGGCCCAGTGCTAAGGATGGACGCTTCTGCCTATCTCTGGGTAGAGCCAACCTAAGGTTGCTGGTGGGACTGTTGTCTGGCCATAACACGTTAAGGCGTCACCTGCACGTGATGGGGGTGGCTGAGGATCCCTTGTGCGAACGCTGCGGAGTAGAGGAAGAGACCTCGGGGCACGTTTTGTGTTGCTGTGAAGCTCTGAGCTACTATAGGCAGACTATACTGGGGTCCATTACTTTGGACCCTCAGGACGTCAAGGAGCTTGGACTCAAGGCGATTCTCAACTTCGCTAAAAGGGCGAGGCTTGTGATTTAAGGATTGTAGAGGTGCATAAGGGCACGCTTATGCGGCCTATGCACTGGCTCCTTATGGTGGCAGGGATGCCTCTAATTTTAAGTTTCATTCATCATCATCGTCCTTTGAAATTTTATTAATGCAGTCATTGTAGTATTCACCATCTGATGAATCTAGATTTCCAGTTATTGCTTTCCATATGGTTCCTAAGTCATTAATAAGGCCGCGTTTAATCCATAAAGCGCTGATTGTGTCATCAGAGATTTCATAATATTTCGTTTCTAAAGAATGGGAAGTTTGATAAAAAACATGCGTTATAATTTCGGCTTTGAAAAATCGCATTCGGTTGGTTGGCTCATCCACAAGAGAAGATAAATGTTGTAAAATACATGGTAGCGCATCGAAAACGAAACAGACGCATTTACTTAAAGCTCAGTTTTTTTTGGAAAACGCTCAGACCCGTCGATTTTGTTTTCGAGGGGGACACAAGTTTGGCAAAAAATCACGTTAGCACGTGCAGACCCCTATGCGGGGGTGACACCTCCCCCAAAATATTAAGTGGAAAGGGGGATCGAGTGATATCTTATTTTAAAGGTCTTTCAATTCCCTTTATAATGATATAAAACTAATACATCATCATTAGTGGAGATCAATACATTTAGCAGCAAAGTAATTTAAAAATGAAGAATGAACTGACCCGTTAGGTAAGTAAATGTTGAAAATGGCCACCATGACTCTCCATGCAATAATAAAGATTTTGCTCAAAACGTTGCCGCACATTTTGAAATATTTGAGGAGTAATTTGAAGGCACTCATTCACAATTTTTTGTAGCAGGTCTTCTAATGATGTTGGCTGAGTAGCATAGATTTTGCTTTTTAAATGACCCCACATAAGAAATCCAAAGGTTATAAATCTAGCGATCTTGGGGGCCATTCAATGGCACCTCTTCTACCAATCCATCGATCTGAAAACGTCTCATCTGTTGAACATGTAATACGTAATGTGGTAGGGCACCATCGTGTTGGAACATAAACCTATTCGCAATGTACCGCCGATCACTCTGATTTTCAATTATGGCTGTTAATGCAGGATCTATGGCGTCTTCCAGTAATTCCAAATACATTTCACCGGTCAAATTTCCAGGTAAGAAAAAAGGACCAACTGAACGATCGCCAAAAATACCAGCTCATTTGATTTTTTGTGGCTGTTGTGTATGAACCTCACGATAAATTCTGGGATTAGAAAAGCAAGTGTTGAATAGAAAATGTTCATCGTCTATAATTTGTTCACTCATACAGGGTTTGTCCGGAAAGTAATAGGACTCATTTTCTTCCGCCATTACTGTACTTCGGAGCATGTGCGCACCGACTGGATTCGATAGAAGGCATTCCTAGCTAACGAATAAGCGGCTGGTCAGTTGTCTGTGAGCACTTGAAGAGTCAGGACAGGCATTTTCGCGCGACGTGTTTCTGTGCGTGGTGCAAGCCGAAAATGCAGCGTTCGTTAGAGCAGAGGTACGCGATTAAATTCTGTGTGAAACTCGGTAAATCTGCGACAGAGACGTTTGATATGATCCAGCAGGCTTACCCAGGTGTTGCTTTAGCAAGAAGTGGTGTGTTTCGGTGGCACCAGACCTTTTTGGAGGGCCTGGAAGAGGTCGTTGATGAAGACTTTGCTGGAAGACCTTCGTCTTCGACAAACACCGATAATGTGACTCGTCTGCGCAAAGTTTTGAACTCAGACCGTCGACTAAGTATTCGTTTAATTGCCCAGATGTTAAATTTACCAAAATCTGTGGTTCATGAAATTATGACACAACATTTGAACATGCGCAAGGTGTGTGCGAAGATGGTCCCAAAAGTGCTCACTGACGACCAGAAATTGCGGCGAGTGGAAGTGTGCCAAGAAAATTTGAACATGTGTGAAAGTCACCCCCAATTTGTGAATAACGTAATCACAGGTGACGAGTCGCGGATCTTTGAGTATGATCCGAGACAAAGTGGCAATCTTCCGAGTGGCACACGACGGCGTTTCCTCGCCCAGAAAAGGGAAGAATGAGCAAATCCAAAGTGAAAACGATGCTCATTGTCTTTTTTGACATCAAAGGCATCGTCCGCCATGAATTTGTTCATCCTGGACAAACGGTCAACGCCAAGTTTTACGTGGAAGTGCTCAGGAGACTCAAACGAAGGGTCAGTCGGGTCCGACAAGACATCGCAGCCGACTGGAAATTGCACCACGACAACGCCCCGGCTCACACCGCCTTTCTTGTGAACAGCTACCAGACCAAGGCCGGCATCCAAAGGCTTCTGAAGCCGCCCTACATCCCAGATGTGCCCCCCCGGACTTTTTTTTGTTTCCTCGCCTGAAAAGGCCGATGAAAGGCAAGCATTTTGAGACGACAGAGGAGATCCAAGCAGCATCCACCGCGGCTCTCACGGCTATTCCGGAGAATGCCTTCCGTAACGCCTTCAATGCTTGGAAATTGCGCGGGCAGCGCTGCATCGACGTAGGAGCATATTTTGAAAGTTTTTAAAGAATTGTAACCATTCGCTCAATAAATTTTTTAAATCGACTCAGTCCTATTACTTTCCGGACAAACCCTGTATCTTCACAAAATTGTAATCGCCGATCAAAATCTTCTTCATTAAATTCTTGTACCAGGTGAATTTTATACGGATGAAAACTATGGGCCTTTAGAATCCGTTGGACAGTACGTCGACTAACACCACACACAGTCTTCATTTTGCGGGTACTTAACGTAGGATCTTTTTTTTATACTCTAACTACCACGAAGGCCTAAGGCCTAAACACCCATTGGGTACCGTGGGGCTATAGCGGGATACAGGGGAAAGGAATAACGCCACACGGACTCTGCGAGGGAACACGTGTGCATGCAACATGCACACATTCTGGCTCCGCCTACGAGATCCACCGGGTGGTACCTCAACGTTCGACAGTCAGAGACCGTCTTCCACCTACAGACAATCACAACATCCATAGCCAAGAGAAAAATTTCTCCTGGATCTACATACATAGACTTGTAACAGTTGCCTTTTATTGCCGATGAATCATATATTTTTTTGTTGTTGTTGTTGTCGCACAGGTTTAATTTCAAGTAATGCAGCAAGAACTTGAGAAGGAAGAAACAAAAGCCGATAATCTAATATAATAATCTCCGTAGCATATTATTTTTATTCATAGCATATTATTAAATCAATTTTATTGACAAAAATGACTAGACCGGCCCATTGGCCATTTCCCAAGACAGGACTTGTTTTTAACGGTGTATTTAGCTATATTTTTCTCACGTAATTCATAACCAAAATAAATAACACGCAGACATTTACCTATTATTATGTTTATTTGAAATAACAAACATAACACATGAATACCACGGAATAACTATAATTTTTAATTTGTATCCATTGTTTTTCTTCTGTAGTCGTTTGGCTGCCTGTATATAGTAGTCAGCATCTTCCATGTCACTGAACAATTTGGGAACTGAAACCAAATATTTCTCAATCAATTAAACATAATCCATCCTGATCTATTTTATAATCCAAAAATTTCAATTATTAAATTTAACGTACAGCAATCGCACTCCATTTTGATCACCTTTACAGTTTCTACCACTAAGTTTATAAATGTGTAGTCAATTTTTCATGCATTCACGTAATTAATTGAAGAATTTACTCACCCTGATATGGACAATTTCTTCTTGTGTTGCCTAGTACTTTCCCTGGTTCACCATGAGTAATAATTTTAGTATTCATCTCCACATATTTTCATAAATAACTCTGTTGCTTCCATCCCATGCTAGATCTTCCACCGTCAAGAAATCAATTCAATCTCGAAATTCTCGCATCGGGGATTTGTTTACATCCCAACAACAATCCGGTTTGTCACTCCGGAGCTAAAAATAAATAAATAAATAAATAAATGTACATCTATAAATTGATATCACCTTCTGAATTAAAAAACTATTTGTGTTGCATAAATATTATTACTCACCAACTATGTATTTCTTTTATAGTCAGATGAATTTATGAAATCTTCCAATGTCAAAGGCTGGTGTCGCTGATGTCGAGGTACTATTCTGCGTACCAAACTACTTGCACACCTCGCTTGTTCCGCATAGTTGCCAATTTTATTTCAGAATTTCCTTATGTTTATTAATCAATCAAATTTATATGCAGATATGACAGTGTTGCCACATTTATTCACGATATTTCTTTGAATTTATATTAGGAACCTTCTCATTTTGGGATTAGCCGACAATGTTTGGCTCTTAATGGTCAGGCGTACAACTATATTTGGAAATGTCAAGTCGAAAAAAAAAATTGGGATGGGACTTCCTTCCACTATCGGAGGGCCATCTTGTTTTGTTCCGCTAGTGCCAGAAGACCTGAAATTTTCCTCTTTTTTTGCCTGGGGCATCTTCTTTGGATTGTGGAAGAAAATTTCATAGATAATTTCCTGGGTCATTCCTGTTGTGAGTGCGTAGCATCTTTTTTTTTTCGTCTACCCTTGGACCCGAGAAATTCTACAATTTGTAGGACCTTATTGTCTTCAGCCGCTTTTTTCGCCAGACGAAACCACGTGAAAAACCCTACCCGACATCATCTAGGGCTTTTATTTTGGGGGAGTCTTCGCTACTGGAGATTCATTGACACGTTTTCTACCGGGGACCTCTTTCCGAACAGAGACCCTTTTTCCACCATAGGAATCCTTACGTCATCGGTTTTGAAGCCTTCCCAGCCCATTTTAAATTTGTTAGTCAATAAGCTTTCGCATTGAGGGAGATCTCCTAGTTTGGCTGGCTTAAATTTTTGTCGTTAGCCGTTAGTAGATGTAATAAAATGTATTGATGTTAATTTTAGCAATTATTTACCCACACAGAAAATCTATTGTTTGTATGTATTTTTGTTTTTGTTTCTTGGGGTTTTGGGCTAAAGAGTGCCTTTCAACACCAAGGCGTCTTCCAGTTTTGGCGAATAAAAGCTGGTGGCGCCCCTAAAAAAATACCCCCCTACTCTCCGGTGTACCTGAGCATAAGGCCTAATTTGCCAACGCTAAACCATGGCTTTAGCCTCAGTAACCCCCTAGTTTTTTTTAATCATCCATTGCCTTAATCGAGAGAAATAACTTTAGCTTAAAATTAAAAAGTGATTCCAATTAATTAAAAAAAAAGAGCGTGGCAAACTTGCCCTAAAACCCCCACTTCTATTGCTTCGTTCCTTATGGGATTTTCAATGTTGCGTTTTTTATTGGCGATTGACCCAGTTTCCCGAAATTTAGCTACAAGTTCTAGAACATATTTTCGATGCACGTTACTGTTCTCATGTCGCTCATTAAATATTTCTGCTGTTCTATTAGCGCACTGATTATTTCCTAAATTTTTTTCGATAATTCCAACTCTTTCTGCTGTGGAATATACCAAGGTTAATTTATGTAATAAAGCGTTACAAGTTATTTTATCAACAAAGTTTGGTCAAATCAATCGAAAACTATGTACTAAATTCCTGTTTAAAATAAGCACGAGATATTTCCTTATCTTTCTTCAAGAAATAACTTTTTTGCAACAAAAAAACGCTCTAATAGCTATTTTCAACAACAAAATGATAAAAAAACCATAGTGAAGAAAAGCATTTACTTATTAAGTAAATTCTTTTAGTCAAATTTCTAGAATTACAAACTAATCTGATGTACCTATTAAAGTTTACTTTAAGCTTTAAATCAATAAACTTCAAAACTACTGAACTGAAGTACATTAATTCCATATCACTATAAAGGGGATTCAAAGACCTTTAAAATAAGGGATCACTCGAACCCCTTTCCATTTAAGATTTTAGCGTTTGGGTCTGAGCGTTTTTCAAAAAAAAACTGAGCTGCCAGTAAATGCGTCTGTTTCGTTTTCGTTGCGCCACCCTGTATAGTTATTCTTATCGAAGGATTTCCTGATGAGTTCGAGGTCTTTGTAAACTAAGAGCGTCCATACCTCGTTAGAGATTTTGAGTGGGGCATCTTCATGAAAGTAAATACCAGTAGATATGAGGCTGCCTTGTACGCCCCCCACCACTTCCTGTTTGGCCACGCCCACCGCGTGCTCTGATTGGTGGACCAGACGGCGGTAAATTTGAACGGGGTTGATGGTACATGTTGATTGGTGGACGGCGGGGGTCGGCTGCATTGGTAATCACCTACGTCGCAAATAAGGTTAGGTAGATAGTCGTTCAGCGCAGGTGTTGTCGTAGCGATGATATGCATGAAGTACACCGCGGGGCTGTCAAGCGCAGGCTGCGAGGATGACGTCATGCATCATTGATGGGTTGTGCTTCTCGCCGCTAGATGGCGCTGCACACGCGTCATGCGTCATTGATGAGTTGGGGATCTCACCGCTAGATGGCGCCGATTTGTTGTCGCACCTGTCTGTAGGATGGCGCGCTGGTGTCGTAGAGTGGTCCACATACAGGTCGATAGAAATTTCGGGGCCCCGGGGGGCCGCTTACCGACGGTTTATCGTCAGATCGAAATAAGCCCCATCCACATGACAAGTATGTGTGGGGGTCGCTCATGGGGGACACAGATCTTATCGTATACGGCAAGACGTGTCCTAAATGGCGCTAGCCCCACTGGTCGCAGCGACATACTGGTCGGTCAGACAGATTTTTTTTTGGAACCTTTATACAGGGTGCATCGAAAAAAAGCGGATTCGGCTGCGACGATGACTTTGGCCACGCCCACCTCGTGCTCTGATTGGGGGATCAGACGGCGGTAAATTTGAACGGGGTCGATGATATATGTTGATTGGTGGACGGCGGGGGTCGCGTGCGTTGGTAATCACCTACGTCGCAAATAAGGTTAGGTAGATAGTCGTTCAGCGCAGGTGTTGCCGTAGCGATGATATGCAAGAAGTACACCGCGGGGCTGTAAAGCATGGAAAATGGGCGAATGGCGGGAGCGCAGGCTGTCAACGAGTTAATACTGGCCAACGATAACAGCGGTGACCTGGAACACTGTTGTCACGCGGTTGCAGTAGATGATAGGTTATCTCTCAACTTTCGTAAACAACGATTTTTCTAAAGTAGTAAAAACAGGTCATAGTTTTTAAATACCTATGAATCACCACAAATTATCTTGTCAGTTATCTACAGCGGACAGACGTGCTCAGCCGTTACCACCGAGAGTACAAGGCCTGACAACAGACTCGTGACGTCACCACGAGTAGGCCGGTCGGCCGGCCGATAGCACGGCGTGCCGTACATGAGCGCTAGTGAATTATATATTATTGCAGCATATTTAATATACTCTACCTGATGTAAATAACGGATAATTCAGAAAAGTGTTTTTGGTATATGAAGGCAACTTGGTGGGAAATATTAAAGAAGTTATTAACTATTTTCACCCTGATTTTCACTGATATTTCATCCAACATTACGTGCACATTAGATTGATAAGTTGATGCTATAAAAGCTTGCTAAAAATGAGAAATTCTTCAATGAATAACCCCATGTTAGTCACAATCGATCAACAAAATTTCACAGGAATATGTGGACAATTTACTATTATTATAGGCATAATATAATGTTACTTGAAAATTATATAAAAAATGTAGTGTTTGCAGAACAGTTGTGTCCTGCAAGAACCAGCGAGGAGGTCTGAGGTAAGCTCTTGCCAGGAAAGGAATAAGGAAGATGAGGAGGAAAAAATGTAGGATAAATGATAAGAAAAACAGATAGAATCAAAGTAAAATAAACAACAGAAAAACATAACAAATATTAACGAAAACTTAATAAAAACTCTTAGAACAAACAAATAACAGCACAAAATAATAACAAAAATTAGAAAACAGAAAACAAGTATCAAATATAACAAATAACAGAATAACGAAAATGAAATGTTGCGGCCTCATGTGAATGTAGTCAATTTACGTTTCTTTGCTTTATTCGCGCTTGCAAAGCTGCCGGCACAATAATTTTTCAAAAATGTATTGACTGTGCAAATAACAATTAGTTTTATAACATAATCTGGTGAATGGACTGTGCAACGCGAAAATGAAGTGTCGTGATTATAATCATTCAGATTGTTAATTATCAACTGAGAAAGAGCGCGTCTCTTATCAGTGATTTATAAAAATGATTCCTCGTCACTTTACAAAACTTTATTGAAAATTATATAACTTAGCGTGACAATATTAACTGGATCATTTGGGAATTTTAAGCCACCTCTACTCAAATTCTGTATAATATTCTATTCTTCTGTATCAATATCATCTGTGTGTGTCAAATTTTCCTTACAATGATCGCAGTGATTTTACTTTAATAAGGCATAACAAAAGTAACCAGCTAAGTAGGCGATGACAGGGATTTCATCCTTTATACTATCAATATCAGACTGTAAAATTTCAATTTCCCGGAAAAAGTGGTAATCATTAAAATTGAGTGGAATTTCATCTATTTCTAAATCATCATTTTCACAGAATTTATCTATTTCTATATCACCATAACGAGACTTCAATGACATCAGGTTTTTTCTCAGATTCAAATAACTGACGAATTGATATATTATATTGAGTTGACGATACTTACCAAATCTATTTTCCAATGAGTCAGTTTGAAATTTACCTAACAATATATAATTACTATGCAGTTTAGATTTACAGTACCTTACTAATTCCAATAAGCCATATACTGTATGATGTAGTGCAATGTAAGTCTGACTAGTTAGTCTTTTCAAAAATTTTGCTGGATCATTCCACTCTTCTAGCCAATCTAGCATGTTTTGCAAGAATGTCAGCTTACTGTCATCACCTTGTCCATCACTGTTGGAGCAAACAATAGGCTCTGCGTAAAGGCCATTTAACCGCTTTCCTTTCAATTGACTTTTTTAAATTGATAATTCTCCACCAGTTCCATATGATGTCAATGAATTTTGCTGTCTCTTCGGAGTGCTGTATGTTTTTACCAAACCTTGATACTGCATCTATTACAAATGGGTTGAATATCTTGAGAGCTAAATGAACATTTTGTCTTTCAAGGTTGGTAGGATATAAAGCTTTTAGGGTCAAACCATAAGCATTTTTCAATATTTTATGACTGTCCATTTGGTACAATGTTTTAATCGCTTTACTATTCAGTGCACTATTATCACTTACAACACAAACAATTTTAAAACCAAGTTTTTCTAATCCAATAATAAGTTTTTTTGTAATATTGTATAATAGATTATGATCAATTTTAGAAACAAGACAAATTTGAACAACTTCTTTAAAATTAGAGTAGAAGCTTGAAATCATAAACACATAGGCTGTTGTAGCTAATGAAGTATTATTAATTGACGTTCCAACAATATTACCCGCTTTGAAATTTAAATATGGCTGAATGTGTATTTCATCCATCAATAAAATCATGTTCTCCTCACTAGGTTTTACAAATCTGAAAAGGTTTTTGCATAGCCTAAAAAGTTATATCTCTCATCGAGAACTGGATCGACCATCAATGTATTACATATTGACTTCAGAGTATTTTGGTGTGGTAAAATAAGTGCTCCATGGCTCCTAATAAATCTATATGAATGTGGACTGATTGTATACAACATAGAGCAAAACACTATTGTTTCTGATGAGTAACTGTGTTTGTTCTTCTGACTAATAGCAAGCTTTAGTTGCTTACAAATAAATTGAATGACAGTGTGGGTCTCTTCATCAGTGAATAGTTCTGCGCTGTTTAAAATATTGTAAGCATGGTTGATAGTGGCTCTGAACTGGTCTTTAC